GGCTGCTGATAAGAACTAGGTGAGGTAGAATCTACAATCCTGACCAGCTTGGTGAGGAAAATCTTGTGGGAAGCAAGGCAATGTGAAATCTAATGGAAAATTGAGCTCACTTAAAGCATAGGGGAAAAAATGCAACACAACTCTTTTATCACTTTAAATTAAGCGTGGTAAATACAGATCTACCCATAGTCTTTAAAAACCCACTTATAAATTGAAAATATCATTCTTTTGCTATCTGTGATTATTACTCATTCAGATATCTCCCTCCCTTAGCTATGATCAAAATCAGCTTTCATCTCAAAATTTAAAAAATATTGATTTAATATTTATCGTATCTGTATGTTATCTTTAAAATATAAATAATATTCCTCTTCGTGCTTGATTTTTCACCTCAAAACGTTTATTGACCAAGTAATGCTGCATCCAATGATTATGCTGTATGCATTGCCACTAGAACTAGCATTAACTTGCCTATTTAAGTAGAATAACATAATACTTAGGAAAACATAGGATGGACAGGCGTAATTATGCCTTATATGTAAAGGCTTATGTAATGGTTTATGCTATAGTTATTTTATAATATTAATATTATATAACTCGCATAAGTAATTAATTTAATTGAAATAAACTCGATAATAGGTTGTATAGCTAGTGCCGTAGCAGCAAAACGGGTTTTATTCTTAATTTACGAGAAAAACAATTTTGCTATGCCATTATAATGCTCCCATGAATAATATAATAAGATCGCATGAATTAATTAGTAACTTCGTTAGGTCATAATGATAATTTTTCTGGCTGTATCATGTAAATGCCAAACTAGGCTGAGCCTTAAATCACCCAAATTTGTCCAGATTTGCCATTTCTCTTAGCAACTTTGAGATAAGAGAGTTATTAGTCATAGACTTCAGGCACATTCCTGAGAGTTTAACCTAATCAATACTTTGGTGCCAGCGAAATTCTGTCTCAATATTTAAATAACGAAATATAATTTAAGACGGTTTCGTAAAATTTAACATAGTATAAAAGTAATTAACACCTCTTTGTTTGCTGAAACTCAGATCGGTTAATACGTTAACCACCAATAGGAGTTCAACAGGCGTTATCAGCGTGATTCGGTTTTCTCTAAGATGAGGCTGCCTGTTGTGTTCATACTTTTCTGTCTTCTCTCCGTATCCTTTTGCGGGTAAGAATTTTTAGTTCAATATTAATTCTTAAATAGACGGGATTTCTATTCAATTTTGGGAGTTCCTAGATCGGCATCGAAGGTTGAAATAAAGCGTGCATACCGTAGTCTTGCTAAAACTCAGCACCCAGATAAAAATAAGGATGATCCACTTGCCAATGATAAATTTAAAGATCTAAATGCAGCTTATGAAGTGATTTTAGTTCATTTTTAATGATAAGGTTCTTTCTGATGACAAAAAACGCGAAATCTATGACCGTCATGGGGAAGAGGGCTTCAGGGGGTCTGGCGAAAGTGGTCCATCCATGGATCCATTCGCAAGCTTTTTCGGAAGCTTTTTTAACATGGGTGAACAGCAAAAGTCGTCAGAAACACCTCGAGGTGGTGATATCGTCATGGACCTG